GGGGGCCACCTCAGCAGCATATAAGGATACAGAGCCCACCATTTTCTCCAGGGGAACTGATCTCTGCCGTCTGGAAAGCAGTTGTAATTCTGAGTTATCTCCAGCCCTCACCTGAAGATTGGACACATTCTACCTCAGAACAGCAAACTGTTTAGAATGTTAGAGGCAAAAGCCAATCAAGTCGCATATGCAAACGACCTCTGTGTTCTGAGGCAAAGGCCAATGAGGCTGCATATGCAAATAACCTCTGTGTTCCGACTGGCTATGGGGGGGAGAGGAAGAGCAAACTGTTTAGAATGTTGGAGGCAGGACTCAGGCAAAGCAGCCAGTAGATAGGGAGACCCTCTGAATGAGAGATCAGAGAGCGAACTGATTTTGGAGCGTGTGGAATGTTCTAGAGAAGTGCCACCACCATTTGGCTTTTATTTATAAGGGAGATTGTCTTGATTTCCCCCCCTCTTTATATTTTTAGATATCTTCTGCAATTTAAATTTATTTTAATTAAAAAGGAACCTCTGTGTTATGAATTGATTCATTTCTTGTTTAGTCTTGTTCAAACTGGACTATAAATAAGAAACAAATTGAGTTTCTCTCTCCATCTCTCCCTCCCTCTCTCTCCCCCCACCTCAATTCATGCAAAACAGTTGCAGAAACTTCAGAATTAAGGGAGGGCTGAGCCATGAAGCATTTCCTATTTGTGCAGTCGAGTCCAGTGTGGAACCAGGGCTGGAGAGCTCCTCTGGAAGGGAGAAGAACCAGGCTCCAGAGGGGCCTCACTGAACAAAACACTGGCTCCCCCCCCCCCCGGGGGCTATTATGCTAATGAGTTCCTGCTGGGCTTTTTCTAGGGGGGTGGGGGTCTTTTTATTTAAAAAAAGGGGGGGAGGGGGGGGGGGGAGGAGAATGATAGAAGTTTATAAAATCATGCATGGGGTGGAGAGAGTTGCGCAAGAGAAATTATTATCTCCCAAAAGACTAGAACTCGAGGGTGTTCAATGAAGCTGACGGGCAGTAGGTTCAGGACAGACAAAAGTAAATACCGCTTTACAGAGAGAGTATTTACAATGTGGCATTCGCTGCCGTAGGTGGTTGTGACGGCCACAGGAATAAACAGCTTCAAAAGAGGATAGATCCTTGGAGTCTATCAATGGCGACTGTTCCTGGTGATTGAGGGGAACCTCCACGTTCAGAGGCACTAATCTGCTGAATCCCAGAGCCAGGAAGCAGCATCAGGGGAAGGCCTCGGCCTCCGTGCCCTGTTGTTGGCCCTCCAGAGGAACTGGTTGGCCCCTGTGTGAGGCGGGAGGCTGGACTAGATGGACCCTCACTGCTCTGATCCAGCAGGGCTCTTCTGACGTTCTTCTCAGGGGAAGGCCTCGGCCTCCGTGCCCTGTTGTTGGCCCTCCAGAGGAACTGGTTGGCCCCTGTGTGAGGCGGGAGGCTGGACTAGATGGACCCTCACTGCTCTGATCCAGCAGGGCTCTTCTGACGTTCTTCTCAGGGGAAGGCCTCGGCCTCCGTGCCCTGTTGTTGGCCCTCCAGAGGAACTGGTTGGCCCCTGTGTGAGGCGGGAGGCTGGACTAGATGGACCCTCACTGCTCTGATCCAGCAGGGCTCTTCTGACGTTCTTCTCAGGGGAAGGCCTCGGCCTCCGTGCCCTGTTGTTGGCCCTCCAGAGGAACTGGTTGGCCCCTGTGTGAGGCGGGAGGCTGGACTAGATGGACCCTCACTGCTCTGATCCAGCAGGGCTCTTCTGACGTTCTTCTCAGGGGAAGGCCTCGGCCTCCGTGCCCTGTTGTTGGCCCTCCAGAGGAACTGGTTGGCCCCTGTGTGAGGCGGGAGGCTGGACTAGATGGACCCTCACTGCTCTGATCCAGCAGGGCTTTTCTTATGTTCTTATATGTCGGCATGTCTCACCCCACCAAATGCACTTTTCACCCACTGCGAGTGTTCCCTGCTTCTGGCCCTCCCTGTCTGTCAAAGGGGCCAGAAGGCCGCGTTGCTTCGGCTGCCAGACTGCCCCCGCCTTCATTCGGGCCCCCACCTGGGATTTCAACCGCCACGTTTCTCTCTCTGATCTCCCTCCGCGGCAGGTGCCTAAACAGGAAGAGGGCGGGTGGGCACACACTCAGAGACGCACACGTAGACACATGTGGGCTGTCAGCTTGATAGGAGCTGAAAGAGGATCCTCCTGTCTGCCCCCCCCCCCGCCGGCCGGTATCATGGCAGGAGGGAGTGGGGGACTCCGAGGGGCCAGGCAGGCAAAGATCCTTGCTTCCTGCATGAAAGGAGGATCTGGGGTTGCCAGCTCCAGGTTGGCAAGCAGTGTTCCCTCTAGGCTGAGTTAGTGTGAGGCAGCACACATTTTTTTAGCCTCCAGCTCACCCATTTTTGCCTTAGCTCAGGAAGGGAGGATCCCAGAGCAAACTAATTTATGCAGTAGCCGATCGCTCGCTCACAACTTTAATGCCAGTAGCTCACAAAGTAGAATTTTTGCTCACAAGACTCCACAGCTTAGAGGGAGCATCGTTGGCAAGGTCCTAGAGATTTGGGGGTGGACCCTGGGCTGTGCGGGGTTTGAGGAGGGGCAGGACCTCAGGGGGGTTTAATGCTTCACCCTCTGAAGCAGTGTTTCCTCTAAGCTAAGTCAGTGTGAGCTAGCTCACAGTTTTTTTAGCCTCCGGCTCACACATTTTGGTCTTCGCTCAGGAAAGATGGCTCCAGAGCAAACTAATTTGTGCAGCAGCCAAATTGCTCGTTCACCACTTTCATGCCAGTCGCTCACAAAGAAGAATTTTTGCTCACAAGGCTCCACAGCTTAGAGGGAGCATTGCTCCAAAGCAGGCGTTTCCTCCAGGGGTATCGATATTTTTTTGTTGCATGATGTTCAGTGAAAAGTACAAATGTCTTATTTCTTTTAAATCCTTGGGAGATTCATTCCAGGTTCTGCCCCACGGAACCCACAAACTGAGGTTGCACTTGCATCGGTCAAACCTCTTTCTTATGCCCACCGCTCACCAATATGTATGGGACTGGTAACTTCCATTGCAACGTATCTGAAGAAGGGGTGCATGCACACCGAAGCTAAAACCCGGAATCAAACTCTGTTGGTCTTAAAGGTGCCGGTGTTCCTCTAAGCTGATCTAGTGTGAGCTAGCTCACAGGCTGGAAGGTCGGTAGTTCAGCAGTTTGAGACCCGAGTGCCGCATGACGGAGTGAGCTCCCGTCTTATTGTGTAGAGAGTGAGACTCATATAGAAACCACAGAGACGGCTGTAGTGATCAGCATGGTTTACCGGTACATAATTAGAACCCCTGCCGGGTGGCCGGCTAAATACAGTACCTGGGAACACCCCTAGATCCTATTGGTGGGTTTAAACCTCCCGCCAAAGTCCCTATTGGTTCCCCAAGGAAAATCAAAGAGCCTAGTACCTATTGTTCCTTCTCTTTTTTTTTTGCAAGATCAAAATAGTTTATTTCCATCCAAACAAAAAAGCCTTTGGTGATTCCAAAAGCTGCAATGGGGAAAAAAATCATTGCAGTTTTAAGCACAAAATGAAGCAAAATTCAGTACTAAACACAGTTAAAAACAGTTTCTCCGCATTGATGCCTTGGACTTTTTTTTTTTTTTTTTTGCAAATCCTGCTGGATTTATAATTGCAAATGCTGAAGAAAAGAAACTCAAGTTGTAAGAAAATTTGGTTTATGAAAATGTGCTGAAGAGTTCCAGCTTCAAAATTCCTTTTGCCTGTAATTCATCGTTACCGTGGAGTAAAAATTCTCTCACTCTTACTTTCTGGATGGGCCACACAAATTCTAGGGCTCACTCTCTATGAAGCGAGTCCCTATTGTTCCTAGGGCGTTAAGCTTGGCAGTAAAATGCTGGCGCCCAGTGGCGATCAGTGAACATAACAGGTCTCTGGCCCCAGCTCCTGCCAACCTAGAAATTCGAAAGCAAGAAATTGCAAGTAGATAAATAGGGACCGCTTCGGTAGGAAGGTAACAGCCTTCTGTGCACCTTGGTGTTTAGTCATGCTGGCCACAGAAAAGTCTTCGGACAGCGCTGGCTCTTTGGCTTGGAAGCGGAGATGAGCACCGCAACCCTAGAGTCGGACTCGACTGGCTTTGGAGCAAGGGAAACCTTCTTTACCTTCACCTCACACATTATGTCTTGTCTTGGGAAGGGAGGGCTCCAGAGCAGACTGATTTATGCAGAAGCTACTCACTCACTAGGCTCACTCACTAGGCGAACTAGGCGGTGGCCAAGAGCAGGAAGGCCCTTAGGGGTGCCAAACTGAACCCGGCCCCATACTCTGGGAGTTTCTTGATTATTTGTGTTTTCATTCTTCCTAAAATGCATTTATTTTTGAAAATTGGTGGGCACAGGGGGGGGGGACAGAAGGGATCCTCGAGTAGGGTGCAAAATAAGCTGGAGCCGGCAAAATAAGCTGGAGCTCACCACTTTAACGCCAGCAGCTCACAAAGCAGAATTTTTGCTCACCAGCCTCCACAGCTTAAAGGTAAAGGTAAAGGTTCCCTTGCTCGAAAGCCAGTCGAGTCCGACTCTAGGGTTGCGGTGCTCATCTCCGTTTCAAAGCCGAAGAGCCAGCGCTGTCCGAAGACGTTTCCGTGGTCATGTGGCCGGCATGACTGAACACCAAGGCGCACAGAACGCTGTTACCTTCCCACCGAAGTGGTACCTATTTATCTACTTGCAATTTCTTGCTTTCGAACTGCTAGGTTGGCAGGAGCTGGAACTAGAGATGGGAGCTCACCCCATTGCAGCCCCCGGGTCTCGAACTGCTGAACTACTGACCTTCCACAGCCTGCAGTTCAGCGTCTTAACCACTTGAGCCACCGCAGCTCCACAGCTTAGGGGGGCGCAAAAAAGGACAGGCAGGAGGGGAACAGCGCCCCTGGAGGCCGCTTGCATCTATATCACAACCCTCCCAACAAAGGCCAGCCAATCCCGGCCCGTTGGATTGCGTTTTACTTCCCGGGTTGCCTGCGGAGCAAGGGCGCACCGATGCTCCGGCCATGAGCGCGGCCCCGGGGCGCCGCCTGCTGCTTTTCCTCCAGGCGGGAGTCGCCCTCCTGCTGGGTGGGGGCAGCGCCGGTGAGTGAGCCGGGGGCGCCGCCTCTCCAGCCTGCGCCCTTTGCGCCTTTCTGGGCTGCGCCGGCCTCTCCCTCCGCCCGCTGGCCAGGCGGGGCTTGCAAGCGCCCATTTCCCCCCTTCAGTTGCGCCCCCCCTGCAGCCAGTCAGCGGCGACCCACCGGGGGCTTTGGGAGGGTCCCCGGGGAAAGGGGCCCGCCTCGGCTCAGGCCAGCTCCTCCCCAGGAGGAAGCGAGGGAGGCCTCCGGGGTAGGGGGTCCTGGTTGAGAGACGCCCTGGCCCCGCAAGCAAAACTGATGCAATGCTCCCTCTAAGCTGGGGAGTCCTGTGAGCAAAGATTCTGCCTTGTGAGCTCCTGGCATTAAAGGTGTGAGGGGAGGGATTTGGCTACTGCAAACATTTAGTTCGCGCTGGACCCCTCCTACCTGAGCTGAGGCCAAAGTTGTGGAGGTTAAAAAACTGTGAGCTGGCTCACACTAAGAGTTAATGGTGGAAGGAACAACCTGGCAAATGGGGTTCAGTGTGGCCGAGTGCAAGGTGATGCACATTGGAGCCAAAAATCCTAACTATAAATACACCCTTGATGGGGTCTGAACTGGCAGAGACTGACCAAGGGAGAGATCTTGGAGGCGTAGTAGATCACTCACTGAAAATGTTGAGACAGTGTGTGACTGCGATAAAAAAGGCCAATGCTATGCTGGGGATTATTAGGAAGGGAATTGAAAAAGGATCAGCCAGTATCATACTGCCCCTGTATAAATCGATGGTGCGACCTCATTTGGAGTACTGTGTACAGTTCTGGTCACCACAGCTCAGGAAGGATATTATAGCATTGGAAAAAGTGCAGAAAAGGGCAACTAGAATGATAAAAGGGTTGGAACATTTTCCCTATGAAAAAAAGTTAAAGTGCTTGGGGCTCTTTAGCTTGGAAAAATGACGGCTGAGGGGTGACATGATTGTGGTTTACAAGATTATGCATGGGATAGAGCAGGTAGAAAAAGAAGTACTTTTCTCCCTTTCTCACAATACAAGAACTGGTTAGAACGGATAAAGGGAAGTACTTCTTCACCCAAAGAGTGATTAACTCCTGGAATTCACTGCCACAGGAAGTGGCGGCGGCTACACGCATGGATGGCTTCAAAAGGGAATTAGATAAACATCTGGAGCAGAGGTCCATCAGTGGCTATTAGCCACAAGGTATAGATAGGAACTCTCAGTCTGGGGCAAGTGATGCACTGCATTCTTGGTGCTTGGGGGGGGAGGTCAACAGTGGGAGGTCTTCTAGTGTCCTAGCCCCACTGCTGGACCTCCTGAGGGTACCTGGTGTTTTTGGCCACTGTGTGACAGAGTGTTGGACTGGATGGGCCACTGACCTGATCCAACATTGGCTTCCCTTATGTTCTTATACTCTGTGTTCTTGGTGCTTGGGGGGGCAACAGTGAGAGGGCTTCTGGAGGTCTGGCCCCACTGGTGGACCTCCTGATGGCACCTGGGTTTTGGCCACTGTGTGATGGCTTCTCTTACGTTCTATATTGGTGCTTGGGGGGGGGCAACAGTGGGAGCGCTTCTGGAGTTCCGGCCCCACTGCCGGACCTCCTGAGGGCACCTGGTATATTTGGCCACCATATGACACAGACGGGGCGTTTCAGCCGGCATAAACTGTACCGGTTGGAACCGGTGCAGTTTATGCCAGCTGAAACGCGATCACACTCACCTCCATTCTGCGGAGCCCATCGCTGTATGCCCGCTCACACGCTGCGGGCATCGGCGTTGTTTTTTTAAAACTCAGTTTGAGCATGTGAATAGGCAGCCATCCACAGAATGGCGATCTTTGCACATGCTCAAAACACCCAGTATTGCATTTAAACTTTAAAGGTAAGGACTTACCTTTAAAGTTTAAAGCCCAAACTGGCCTCCCTGAAGTCCTGGACTCCCCCAAAACGTTACTCTATGGACTTTAAAAAAAAACAAACAAACAAATGCTCAGGGCGAAGCTTCGCCCAAGCGCACATCGCCTAGTTAAAAAAAATGGCGGCCGAAAATCGGAAGCCTCAGGCTTCCGAACGGAAGTGGCTAGATACCGGTGGAGAGCGATCAGACGGCGGGGTTAACCGAACGCAACCGTTGCACTCAGGATACCACCACTTGGGGACCTAGTGGCAGAGTGCAACGGTTTAAAAGGCTTTACAACGGTTAGGGAGGGAAGACAGATGTTCGCCGTCTGAACGCCGGTAAGTACAACGATTGCAACCGGCACAGGTTCCGTTGTAAATCTCCCGTCTGAACGCACCCAGAGTGTTGGACTGGATGGGCCACTGGCCTGATCCATCATTGGCTTCTCTTGTGTTCTTATGTGGGCTTAGGGGTGTCCTCGGCTATGGTCCCCCCAACTCTACCCTCTTTCTTTCCCAGGCGCCTCCACGCATTCCCTCCACTATTTCATAACGGCCGTCTGGGAGCCGGGAAGGAGGCTGCCCCTGTCGACCTCTTCGTCCTACGTGGATGACCAGCTCCTCGGCCGCTACGACAGAGGCACCGGTCAGTGCGTGCCTCAGTCGTCCTGGGTAGAGGAGATCAGCCACGACGACTCCGACTTCTGGGCCAGGAGCACCGGAGGGGACTTTGCCTCGAGTTTAGTCATGGATCTGATGGTTCTGAAGAATGTTTACAACCGGAGCAGAGGTGAGTGGAGGGCAGGAGGGGCCGTGGACAACGTCCACCTCATCTGCTTGTCTTGCGGAGGGGAGGGAGCTAGCTCATACTAACTCATCTTAGAGGGAACACTGCCCGTGAGGTAGGTGGGGCTGAGAGAGCTCTGAGAGAACTGCCCTTGCGAGAACAGCTCTGAGAGAACTGTGGCTTGCCCAAGGTCACCCAGCTGGTTGCACGTGGAGGGGTAGGGAATCAAACCCAGTTCTCCCAGATTAGAGTCCGCGCTCCTAACCACTATACCAAACTGGCTCTCAGCAGCCGCTTGTCTTAGCTCACTGGGCAAAGCTAGTATTCCAGTTGACACACCAGTTTCTGGGCTCTTTCAGCTGAATCTCCCAAAGCGGTTGGAACAGCCACACAAAGTGAGATCTGTGCTCCTCCCCAATCCATATAATATCGCACAGGGTCAAACTCAGTGGAGGTCCTCTGGTGGGACCTCCCCTTCTTCTGTTGCAAAAATCCATTTGGACAAGTTGTCCCCCCCAACGGAAGCTTTCTTTCAATATTAAGAGGTGCTTTTCAAGTGTTCCTAGCTTCTTGTGCATCTGCACAACAGTTACTTTAGGGCTGCATTTGATTAATTGCCTGGGAGTATAATTAAGGAAATTCTTGGCATAAATATAGTACTTAATCCAGAGGTATATCTACTAGGAGCTGTGATGGCTTTCAGACGCTGAACTGCAGGCTGTGGAAGGTCGGTAGTTCAGCAGTTCGAGACCTGAGTGTGCCGCATGACGGAGTGAGCTCCCGTCTCTAGTTCCAGCTCCTGCCAACCTAGCAGTTCTAAAGCAAGAAATTGCAAGTAGATAAATAGGTACCACTTCGGTGGGAAGGGAACAGCGTTCCGTGCGCCTCGGTGTTTAGTCATGCCAGCCACATGACCACAGAAATGTCTTTGGACAGCGCTGGCTCTTCAACTTTGAAACGGAGATGAGCACCGCAATCCTAGAGTCGGACTCGACTGGCTTTCGAGCAAGGGAACCTTTACCTTTACCTTTTTATATCTACTAAATATAATAGCAGGTGATCAAGTATTGCACCGGGAGGTATATATTCTGTTGCATGTCTTAAGTATTGCTAGAATTTTGTTAGCCAAATACTGGAAGTCGGATAGAATACCCACTCGGGGAGAAATAGCATTTAAATTGTTGGACGCCGCGGAAATGGACACGATACATGCACATGTGCATGGGATTGAAGATAAGGTCGTAACTAACAAATGGTCTAGAGTAAAAAAAATGGGTAGAAAATATTGTTTAGTGGACGCAAGCTATAGAGATTTGATGTTACAATATGTGTGAACTCAATGTAAAAAAAACCCAATAAGTATAATTAAAAAAAAGATTAATTGCCTGGGTAATCCTAAATATTTTTCCTTTTGGGGTTTTTTATGTTTTGTATGTTGTGTGTTTTATCTGTGTTCTAAGCCACCCGGAGTTCCATAAGGTTGAAAGGGGGCTAATAAGTGTTTTAAATAAACAAGCGAATAAAATAATAGATCACTCGGTGACGTGTCATTGCTTGTCTCAGCGAAAGGCACAGTCTCCGAAGGCGTGTGGCCTAGAGTTAGGGTCGGAAATCCATTTTGTTCTCAGATGGAGACTGTCACTGGGCCAGTTCAGGGCCCAAAAGTCCCAGATTAGCAGAAGTGTCTGGGGCCAGAAGGGGGGGCGGAGATGGAGGGCTTTGCTGGTGAAAGGGAGAAATGGAAGGCAAGTGGGAGAGACTGGTGGACAATGCCTGAGTCAGGCTGGTAGGAGGTTCTTGGGTTTCTTCAAAATGTGGTGAGAAAACAGAAATTTACAATGAAAACCAGTGTATTAGCTGTTGTGGACCTTCCGGGTTGTGTGGCCGTGGTCTTGGCATTGTAGGACCTGACCTTTCGCCAGTAGCTGTGACTGGCATCCTCAGAGGTATCACACAGAAAGACAGAGTACTCTCTTTGTCAAGATGAGAAGAAAAACGGTAGGCCGGTATTTTATATCTACTCGGGAAGGTGGGGTAGGGCTGAGTCATTATCTTGTAGGAGTTCCCCAGGCTGTGAAACATGCTAATAGAGGAGCTTTCCTGAGGAGGTTCTTTTGCATATGGATTTATTTTTTCTCACCACAGTTCTACAAATGCTAATTTGTTTCGTGAGGAGGCTTCCTGTTTCGTGAGGAGGTTCTTTTGCATATAAATTGTTTCCTGAGGAGGCTTCCTGTTTCCTGAGGAGGTTCTTTGGCTGTTGAAATTATATTCTTATCTGTAGTGCTATTGTCAGATGAAGAGCCTTTTGTGTTTTTCAGGACAGGAAACCATGCCCTATTTATTTTTAAGCTCTCTTCTTTCCTGTTGAAATTGTGTTTGTGTTTATGAATTTCAATGGCTTCCCTGTGTGATCTGACATGGGAATTGGATGTGTTGTTCAGCCTTTCAGTGTCTTGGAACAAAATACTGTGTCCTGTTTGGGTTAGGCTATGTTCAGCCACTGCTGATTTTTTGGGTTGGCCAAGTTTTCTTCTCATCTTGACACAGAGAGTACTCCGTCTTTCTGTGTTTTACCTCTGAGGATACCAGTCACAGCTGCTGGTGAAACATCAGGTCCTACAGTGCCAAGACCACGGCCAGACAACCCCGGAAGATCCACAACAGCGAATACACTGGTTTTCATTGTAAATTTCTGTTTTCTCACCACAGTTTGACAAAGTCCAAGAGCCAGTTTGGTGTGAGAGCCAGTTTGGTGTAGTGGTTAAGTGTGCGGACTCTAATCTGGGAGAACCGGGTTTGATTCCCCCACTCCTCCACTTGCACCTGCTGATGTGACCTTGGGTCAGTCACAAGCTCTGGCACAGTTGTCCTTGAAAAAGAGCCGTTTGTGTCAGAGCTCTCTCAGCCCCACCCACCTCTCAGGGTGTCTGTTGTGGAGAGGGGAAGGGAAAGGAGTCTGTAAGCCACTCTGAGACTCCAAGTGAAGGGCGGGGTATAAATCCAATCTCTTCTTCTTCTTTTACCTCACAGGGTGTCTGTTGAGGGAAGGGGAAGGGAAAGGAGATTGTAAGCCGCTCTGAGACACCTTTGGGTAGTGATGGACTGGGTATAAAGCCAATCTCTTCTCCTTCTCCTCCTCCTCCTCCTCCTCCTCCTCCTCCTCCTC